CAGACTTCTGACCTGAATTTTAATCATCTTTACACTGGATGGGTCTTCTTTCCCTGATATTTGCAATGCATCATTAATTTTAAGGCAACCGTTTCTATGATTTTAAAAAGCACACTTCATCAGGATGACACTTCTTATAAACGAATTTCACCTTTAAAGACATCTGACACCGTGGGTAGGGAACTTGTAATGGATTTGGTAGATGTGTATATAGCGATAGATTTTTAAATCTGCATTGCACAAAAGGGCATGATTTACAAAGAGTCCACATTGTCAGACTTCTTCCAAGCTCAGTTCCTCACGAATTGGCTAACTTCAGACCCAAAGCCAATCTTCCCTTTCGAAGACCTGGCTGGTTAAAGGGGCACCATGTGGTCCCACGGGCCTGGACCCAATCCTAACTCTCCCCCTTGATGGCACGATGGCAGGTTATGACATCAGCTTCCTTCCTTGCAAAATGGAGCACTGAGTAAGCAAGTCCGCTGAGCTGGCAGGAGGACTGAGTGAGGTGAGTCCCAGGACCTGGACTGTTTGTACAACCACCACCATTACAGGCTCAACTCAGACATCTGCACCAGACTCTGCAGCCACTGGCTCATGGGATCGGTGAGCCAATGCCCACTGCATGGAAGACTCCTAATAACCAAACCTAAAGCGATCTAAATCACTGTGGCTCCCCCAGGACAATTCTCATCCTCCGAGTCTGGAAAAGGCTAAGCTTAAACATACAAAAGATGACCTGGAACTAGCTCCGATGACTCACAAGCAAAGATATGAAGGGCGAAACCCTTGATTCTCCCATATCCCTTCCACTACCAAGTGTGGCTGCTTTCCCTGGAAGTCTCTAGAACCCTCTCTCCCCATGTCCAGCCCCCAATGCTGCAGCCCTGTTTAGGGCTGAGGCATTGTCTCACCTGATGAAGAAGGGGCCTCCTCCCCTCCCTATTTTCACCTTCCTTGAGTTTTGAGCACGAGCCACCAGTGATCTATCTAGAACCCAACCCAAGTACCCCCTTGCCACCTGAAAACCCATAATGGGCTCCTCATTTGCTACAGAGTCAATTTCAAACGTGATAGCATGGATCTGAGACCTTCATAAATGCCTTACATTCTTTAACCTTATCTAAGCAAAGGCATTTCAACACCTCCTCTAACCTGATTGGCCATGCGCTTTCAGGTCTGGGGCCTCTCCCTGTCCCACCCCAAATTCCTGATCATCCATCTGGCAGAACTGGCCTCCCCATATGCTGGGCTCCCCCAGCATCTGTCCGTCTCTCCCGGGGAGCTTCCACCTCTCTGGAACATGAAGGGCTTCTCAGCTGACAGGGAGCCTCCACAAAGGCAGGTACCAGGCACCCTCCCATGGCAGAAAGAAAACCCACTTGCTGAATTTACAACAGTTAAATTCCTTAAAATTAATGATGCATTGCAAACATCAGGGAAAAAAGACCCGTCCAGTGTAAAGATGATTAAAATTCAGGTCAGACACTTACTGAATTTTTTTTTTGAGAGGGAGTCTTACTCTGTTGCCCAGGCTGGAGTGCAATGGCACAATCTTGGCTCAGCGCAACCTCTGCCTCCCGGGTTCGAGTGATTCTCCTGCCTCGGCCTCCCGAGTAGCTGAGATTACAGGCGAGCGCCACCGCGCCCAGCTAATTGTTGTATTTTTAGTAGAGACAGGGTTTTACCATGCTGCCCAGGCTGGTCTTGAACTTCAGACCTCAGGTGATCCACCCACCTTGGCCTCCCAAAGTGCTGGGATTACAGGCGTGAGCCACCGCGCCTGGCCCACTAACTGAATTTTAATAGGCATTCATATTTGGTCATTAAGCCTTATCCAACTAGCATCATTGCTTTGGGAAGATTTTGATAAAGATTCTGGCCTGTGCAATGCACACCTAGAGAGGGTGACCCCATCCCCCACAAAGTTCTCTCAGAAGAGCGCCCGAATATAACTGAACTTGGCACATCCCAAGTAGGTTTGCAAAGACTTTCCAGATGGAAGACATATTGGCCAGGGCTTTCTCAGACAAGAATACCTTTCGCCTTTTTGGAAATTCATGTGGTTCTTAGTGTGTTGGCTGAGGCTTACACTCCATTCCCAATGAAAGCTCTCTACAGCAAATCGGTAAAATTTAAAAAGCACGAGGCATTTTATGGCTTCTTTCCTCAACTCCCTTCATTCATTCATTTGACACACCTATAAAAGCAAGCACGTTCAGCTTTCCTAAGTCTCTATGAATTTCACATATGATTCTGCCGTATTCAGCAAATATTTTTTCAGGGGCTGATGGCTCTCAAGGCTAGAAGGCTTCCTGGAATGAACACACCACTAGCCTTGGGCATAGAAGGTTAACAAAAACCACAGCTCCAGTGTCTGTAGTTTCTTTCTTTCTACACTGGGGGTATGATCCAGCTAGGTCTTGAGCTATGAAAATGGAAATGATTTTTAAAATATAAGATCCATGGCGTACCATTTCCTCAACAGCCATGATGTGAGGTGCCGTGTTGGATGTTTACAGTAATGATCTCACTCAGTCTTCACAGCCGCCTTGTGAGGGAGGCAGCATTATTATCCCATTTTACAGATGGGAAAACTGAGGCTCAGAGAGGACGTTTCCCAGTCTCACCTGGCTAATGAGAGATGGAGAGCTGGGTACAGAACCAGCCTGGCCTACATCAAAGCATTTTTGGCCTGGCTCCTTCCTCTTGAGGATGGTCTCAGGGAAGCAGCAGTGCCTCCTGCTATCAAGGAAAATGCCTGGGCCATCAGGTGAAGGTGTTTCTTTGTCCTGAAACAGGTGAGGTTCGGCCAGGATGTCTTCCCAGACGGTGTTTAAATCTCCAGGGCTTCAGGAGCCGAAGAGAAAAGTCCTCTGTTCCCATCCCAACCTGGAGCTGGCGCGGCGCACGGTGGCTTCGCACCCCCACTCTGCAAACCCAGACAGATGCTGGTGGGACTGGGGGCATCGTTGCCCGACAGCCGCCGCCCAGACCAGCCCAGCTCCGAGTCGTCGTGTCTAATTACACTTAACTATGTCATTACCCTCTCCAACATGTGCGACGAGACGTCATGAACGCCGCCACTGCAGCCCACCGCTTCCCCGCCTTGTTCGTGAAATAATTACGGGCCCTCTCCTCTGCCAAATGAGGCTGTAATTAACCCTAATTGCTCAAAATGCAACTGGCTAATTCTGGGAGATTAATCAAGGGGGACTCAATTGTTAGTGAATGACTTAATATGACAAATTGCTACATTACCCGAGGAGGCCCTGCTGCCCCCAGCCATCAGCACCGTGTTCTGATAGACTCTGGACCCACTGTGTCCTGGGGCTTCCCAGCTTTCTGGGATCTGCCTCCCCATTCTACCTAGGAAATGGGCCCCTTCGTGAGTACAAATAGCACAGATGCCCCATGGACCCTCTGCATGCTTGTGTGTATGCAATATACACCCCCCCCACCAACACCCCCTCACCACCAGATATGCACACAAACGCACAGTGTCCACTAGCTCACGTGTCGCCTCTGTGTGAATCTGCAGCATCACTGCTCCCCTTGGGCTGATGCAGCCGTCCACCAGGGAGCATGGCTTGGTGAGAATGCAAGCACAGGAGGATTTCAGACCTACCTGCCTCCTTAGTCCAGTTTTGTGCAGTGCATAACCTGTACAACTGTACATGGTGACCTTGCCACTGAGGTCAAACATCAGCCAATCTGAAGTCCTCTAACAGGGATTAGGCAGTTAGAAGCTCTGACCAAGCCCCTCCATGGCTCAGGAGGGTGGCTGTCTCTGAGCCTCCCCTGAATTTAGGTCTCACATCCTTTGGACAAAAAGCCAACACCAGATAGGAACTTTCCATCATTCTAAACTAGCCACAGGACCCTACATGATGTGGCTCTGGTCAACCTGCCCAGACAAGCCTTGTGCCCCCCATGCTGAACTGCCTTGTGCACCCCACGCTGAGCTGTCTTGTGCACTCCATGCTGTCCAGGCCTGGCACGCTCTCCCTGACTCCCCTTCCAAGTCAGTGCAAACGCTGCTCCCTCTGGGGAGACCTCCACTTCCACCCTGCTCTCTGTGCTGGGCTGCCCAGGCCTGAGTGTGCTACACAGTCCCATCCTGCATGGGTACCGCACATGCATCCGCAGTTCCTCAACTCAGTGGGCATGCAGGACCCCTCTGTGCCCGGCCTGAGATGGCCCCATCAGCAATGCTCTACTCCAGGGGAGCTCTCTTTGTTGAAAGGGAGGCAGACCCAGGAACTAGTGGGTCATCCCAGTGGAATGAGATCACAGCTACGACCCAGTGCATGGACACAGGTGTGCAGGCAGTCCAGAGCAGACAGCAGGGTGGAAGTGGACGTCTCCCCAGAGGGTGCTTGGAAGGGAGGTCAGGGAGGGCGTGCCAGGCCCGGGCAGCATGGGGTGTGCAAGGCAGTTCAGAAACCTACAAGTCACCTTCAGAAAAGCTCCTGAAGGCTTCCTGGCTCTCCAAGGTATCTACAGAGAGCGCACAGCAGGCATTAGGAAGCCAGTGTTCTCCCAAATTCTGCTGGTTCTAGGAGAGGCTGAAGGGGGCTGAAACACTGGGAGGCAGCGTTGCTCAGTGTAAGAAAGAATCTCACCCCAAGTGCAGTCAGCCCATTCCTCTGAGTCCTTCGCTGTCCTCACGGTCTCCATAGCAGCCTCTGTACCCTTTCAACCATGCTGATCCCTGAGATAAAGCTGTTCCATCCACTTGGAACACCCCAGGGGCAGGATCAGGGTCCAGGGTCCCAGCCCAGAATTTGGCAGAGGAGGCTTCTCTGAGCATTACCGAATTTAATGATAAGCTCACTAGATTTGGTAGTGAGCTCCCCATCACTGGAAGCATTCAAGAAGAGGTTCTGTTTGGGGGAGCTGAAGGGTTTCCACCAGTGGGGTTTTGGACAAAGGAGGCTCAGGGACCTGTATTCCTTGGGGACTCTGCGGTGTGCTTCAGACGACGGTAAGGAGCTTACCTGTGGGTCAGGAGGGTGTGCAGGCCCCAGGGTGTGGCACAGGCTGTTGGAACTCCCTCCGTGGGGCATGTGGCCGGGCTGTCCTGCCATCCTGCATGCCAGCCTCGCGAGGGCACAGACTGCAACAGAAAACAGGGGCCTGTTCACTTTCTCTTCGAGAGACCCTCAGAAGGAAGAGGGACTTTTGCTCACCCCATTTTACAGACGTGTGAGCTGATGCCAAGCCGTTCAGTAACTTGCCCACAGTCACTGAGCTCTGAGATGGCAGGGCTACAACTTGACACCCCCGGGTGACACAGTCTCCCGCTGTTATACTGCCCTAAGTCACTAGGATTCTCTCCGCTGGAAAGAGGCTCCAGGCAGGGAAACGTCCATCAGCAGCCCCGAAGGCCAGAAAGAAAGGTGCCAGATTCGACCCCACATTGGCTGGAGTCTAAAGCCTTGTTCTTTCCCCAGCACTGCCCCTGCTTCTTGGGGAGCAATTCTGTACCCTATCCCCCATCGTCACGCCCATGTATACCCACGCTGCCAGCCTGGATGCTCAGAAGGGAAAGGCCTGTGAGCAGCTGCTGTGGGAAGGAGCCCACCACACACGTGACACAGGGAAGGCCAGGGCCAAGAGGTCCTGCTTGCCATCCTACTCAGACCTCTGTGCAAAGCGACAGCTGGCCTCAGCCTCCAGGGCCTGAGAGCCAGGGATGCTGGTCACAGGTAGTCACAGCAGCCACAGGTTCCCGGTTAAGCAACTAAAACGTGCCCAGGCCTGAGCTCAAGGCCATCTGAGCAACTCCCCTAATATTTTAGCCTCTGGCCTCCCCCATCAGACAAATCCTTCTGGGGCAGGATCTGAGGCTATGTGCACAGAAGCTGTGTGACTCAACCACCGGGACCCTTCCTGATGCCAGGGGGAAACCCTCCTCCTTCCTGAGAGACTTGTGCTCCCCCACAAGCACTTCTGCAGCACCTCCTGTGGGCCAGGGCTCCCACACGGCACACGTGGAAGGCACTAGATCGCGCATGTGGTGGGGCCCCTGTTCTTGGCCGCTGCTCCTCCCGGACAAGCCCTAGACGTCCCGAGGGTACCACTCGTGTGACCACATCCTAGGCAGAACCCCTTGAGGCCTGGCCTAGGCTCCTGGAGCAGCTCCTCAGGACCCCTGGAGAGCAAGAAGTCCGTAGGAATGGAGGGCCCCCTCATTCAACAGCTGAGGGGTGGGCATGAAAGCCAGTCCGTCTCAGGTCAGAGCCCTCCGAGCTGTGACTTGCACCCCAGAGCCCCTGGCATGGTCAGTGGGTTTTGTCTGAGATGAGACCCCTGGCCTGTCTCCTGGCCTCGCCCTCCCTGAGTGGTTCCCCCAGAGGCACCTGATAAATCCCATGCCTACATATCTCCATCTCAGGTTTGGCTTCTGGAAGACCCAGCCGAAGATGTCATCAACCTCCAGACAGACCCCGCCTCCTGCTGTCTCACCTGGTCACCTATGCCCCAGTTAAATTCCAAACCAAGAGTCTTCCCCGCCTTGCCCTGCTGCTGGGCCAGCAGCCCTGTGCTCCCTCCCAGGTAGACCCACGCCCCCTTTAACATGGGGCTATTCCGGGTGGTGGGAAAGGCGTCAACAACCCCGGGGCTGTCACAGCCAGCGCCTAGAGGTCCAGCCTCTGTGTCTCAGGCCGCAAGTCACTCCTCCTTCCTTCCCACTGCAGTCTGTTTCCAGCTACAGTGGTTGGCCAACCAGGCCTCTCAGGCTCCAGGGATGTCTGTGACACCCTTTGAAGTGTCAAAATGATGTCCACCAAGCCCTAATTCACCTGCTGAGCTTGGCCTCCCAAGTTGTTCCCTCAAAGGCACCTTGACCCTTCCCAGAACCTGCAGGCTGGCTCCCAGCACCCTTCTCCCTCTGCGTCCTCAGGGCAGCCCAGCTCCCCTCCCTGCCCCACGCCTTCCACAGGCTGTTCTGGGGTAAGCCTGCTCTCTCAAGACAGATGACAGGATGTGATGCCACGGGGAAGCGGATGATAGGGACTGCAGCATACGCCCAACTCAGGATCACGGGGGTCCTCGCTGGCTACGCGTCCTGCCATGCCTGGCCCGTGCAGTCTCTTGCCTGGGAAGCTGCAGAAACTCAACAAACTTTGACCTGCATACTCGGCCGTTTGATGTGGTGCATCCCAGTGTGGACAGATAACTGGTAGGTCTCTGGCTGTCACTTTACTCTGAGCACACAGAGCACTGTCAGATCAGTGTCACGTGGAGGGGCATTATGGTGCACCTGCCTCTCCCCTCCCCACCCCTGCCACAGTATAGGCCGCATCTCCCACCTGGGTCTCCCAGCGCTCCATGCTCTCCCCACCAAGCCCTCAAATCCAGATGGGACCATGGCACCCTCAGCGTCTCCACCATTTGGGCCGAGTTTCTGCACTGGAGCGCAGGTGTCATCCCCAGGTGACACAGTGGAAGACCCAGGATATGAAGAGCCCCAGGATAAACAGATAAACATGGAGCACCTTCCCCAGGTGTCTCTGTTTCTCGGGGGGAATATGAGAGGGAGCAGAATGTAAAATGTGCATGAATTTGAAGATAAAACCGAGCCTCCCAAAGGCCCTGCAGCTGCTTCCAGCTGCACCCCCAGACCCCTCAGGGTGACGTGTTCGCCATCCTCTGCCCTTAGGGAGACCTCCAGAGAAAGGGTGGAGAACTGTCTTCAGTGAGAAGCTTCCATCTTTATCTCAGAAGGCACCAGGCTCAGCCCACAGACCACCCCTGCGAGACCCACGCACACGCCGGCTTACCTGCCCACCTGCCCCGGGGCCTCCCATGTACTGGAAACCGTGGCAGTGGAATCTCGACCCTGTCACTCACCAGCTGGGTCTGAGGTTACCTGCACATAACCTTCGGCAATCCCACTGGGGAGAAGCCTAGCATGTGCTAGGGAATGCCATTCCCCGCCCTCCCCACAGGGCGCCGACTGCATTCTCCAACAGCTGCAGCCAGAGGCAACGTCTGCACACTCTCAGGAGCTCACCTGCGGCCTCACACAGGCAGGGCTCCAGGAGCAGTGCATGGGGAACCAGGGAAAAGAGCCAATAACTGTGGGCCCTGATGATGCTGGGTCCTGCCCTACGCTCTTCATCTCTATTAGCCCACCTCATTTTGTCAACAACCCCATGAGGTAAGGTCTATTATGGTCCCACTTAACAGATGAGAAAACTAAGGCACGAAGAAGTGAAGAGATCTGCCCGGGTCCCATGGATCACAGACGCTGAGGAGCCAGGACTTGAACTGACAACTGCATCTTCATCCAAAACTACAGCACTACACTCCTCACAGGTTCCTACGCAGCAACATCGTCATCTTTCTAGCTCGCTCTGCCCAGAACAGGCCCTCTCTCTCCACTGGAGAATGGGGCCTGTGCTGCTGCTGCCCAGGGTGGTCTCAGGGCTGGCAGATCACAAGGGCCCATTTTCCTCATAGGGTCCCCCGGGCAGGAGCCCCCGGAGACTTGACCCCACTGACCACACCAAGTTGATGCAGCACCACCGTCTACACTGCCTTTGCTGCCAAACCCCAGTCATTACGAGCTGCTCTGTCCAGAACCTAACGGAACCTGCTGCATATGAGCCTCCAGGGAGGAGGGGCCCTTGTTCTAGGAAAGCAGCAGCCACAGAGAACTCTGCAAGCCCCTGCCCACCGAGTGCCGGAGAGGGTCCCTGCAGAGGGGGAGGCGAGAAGGGGTAGAGGGAAGGGGGAAGGGAGAAGGAAGGGATGGGGGTTCATGTGGGCCAGATCTTTCCCATTCACCCTAGGGGCTGTGGGTAGACCTATTTTACAGATGGGGAGACTGAGGCTCAGAGAGAAGAGGCTTGATGCCATTAGGCTAATAAGCTGCAGAGCAAGGATTCAAACCCAGATCTCAGTGACTCTAAAGCCCCTCTTCATTCCAAGGAATCCACTGCCTCTTGAGGCCCTCCGTGGGTACTGGATTTTAGGCCATTTTGTTCTATTGGTCCACACTGCAACAGTAACCTGAGCCCCTTGCTCCGGAAATTCCTGCCAGAAACTGCTCCTTAGGGGGTTCAGATGCAGAAAGACCAAGGCAAAGGGGCTGTGGAAGGACCAGCCCCGGTGAGCAGGGAAAAGACCCTTAGCACATGCGTGCAGGCACCTCTGGGTAACACTGGGGACTGCCCGTCCCCGGGATTCCGCGGCTCCCGCCAAGTTGCAGAACAATGAGGCAGTGGCTGCCAAGCCCAAGTCAGGGGCCAAAAATCCATGGAATGCAAGACCCAGAGCCACAGGCCACACCGAACACCACCTCAAAGAGGGCTTTTCTTCTGCCTCCAGCGAGGCCCCTGCATTTGCAAGGCACTGTGGAAAGCTGCACAGCCAGGCTTCCCAGCTAAGGTTCCTGGCTTTGAACAACAGGCTGCCATGTGCTGTGTGTCCACAGGCACCCAAGGACTGGATTGGGAGGAGCCTTGGCGTTCAATGAAGCTAGCAGGGAGCTAGGCTGGGGGTGGGGGTGGGCCAGATCCTGGCCTGGTTTCATTTAACCACGCTGTGTCTCAGTTTTCTCATCTGGAAAATGAGCTGACAGTCAGATCTTCCTCTTAGGGTCACCGTAAACTCCTTAGCACAGAGCCTGGGACAAGGGAGGGGACCTCTGAGGCTTTAGCTATGAGACTATTTAGCTATTGAAGCTAACCTTCACTGTACAATGGAGGAGTGATCACCTCCATGTGACAGACACGGGGACACAGGCAGGGGCTTGCCCAGGGTTGTTGCTGCCCCAGGTAACACAGTTGGTAAGTGACAGAGCTGGGGTTGCTGGACCCAAGATCGCTGCTCTATGTCCTACGCTGCATGCCCTCTTCAGGACTGCTCTGGCGCAAACGTCTTCATTCATCATCTACGTGAGCCATGGCTGCCTCTGCAAAGCCTACTGCTGTGCCGCACCCTGCCCGGCCATGGAAGAGGCTCTCACTAACGTGTGCCATGACGCTAGGGAGACATGAGCACTTCGGTTTAATCCAGGCACCTGCTGGAAGGGATTGGCTGCTGTAATGGGTCGGCTCTGAGGTTCCAAGGGGCCTTTCTAACCAAGGCTGTCACCTGGCCCTTGCCTCTGAATTTTTAGAAACTTCACCTAGGGGAAAGTCCCTCCTGTGTCTCCTGCCAAATGCCACACTTCGTGGAGGCTGGTGGCTCATCGTGGCCTGGCCAGTGAAGCAGGACCTCAGACACCAGGAGAGCTCTGTCCAAGGATCCTGCTTGGAGCAGGTTTGGGGGCATAAGCACGCATGGTCCGTGTATACCAGGGTCTACAGAAGTGCATTCATACACTGTATTTTATACCCCTTCTTGCTCTGAACCCCGGAGATGGTAACAGTGTGTCCTGCCTGCACCTTCTGCACCTGTGTGTGCATGTGCACAGGCACGGTCAGGGGTCATCTAATGACCACAAGGCTCCGAGCGCAGGGCCTTCCATCCACTGAGGCAGAAGGTAGAGGTGGCAAAGGCAGCTGTGGCTCCCAGGCTGACAGGTGTTGCCAAGCCCGGGGAGAACCACGCCACCGGTCTTGGAGGTCGGCCTCAGCTGGACACTGTACTCCACTCCCATTTCCCTGAGCAAGTCCCCTCCTCTGTCCCTCCAGCCAAGTGGACAGCCTCACAGCTTGTTTTCCCTAAAGCAGGAAGCCATCCCTGTGGCTTCACACTCAGGCACACACAGCTTTCTCTCTGCCCCAAGAGAATGGTACTGGCAGCACCAGTGCCAGCACCAGAGGCGATGTCTGTTGGTCCAGCTGGCTGCCGGTGGCAGGAGCCTAGGATGGATGCCGGCTGCCTGGGGCCTTCAGCCAGCCTGCAGAGGCTCCGCCACCTGACACACACCCCAGAGAACTGGAGATTGGAGGCCCGACAAGGACAGCTCACTGCACCTGGCCTCTGGCTGGGTCAAGGCCGGACCAATTAGCCAACATCCACAGGTGAGACGGCATCTCCCAAGAAACCTGCAAAGTGCCATCCCCCTCGTTTTGCTGATGAGGAAACTAAGGCTCCAAGGAGAACACGGCTTGCCAAAGTGAGTCCACACAGTGGAGAGAGCTGCCATTTGAACCTGCTTCTCAGATCAGCCAGACTGAGCAATTAAAGAAAGAAATCCAGCGCAAGCCCAGGGACTGTGAGGAATGCCACACCCAGGTAGACTGGCTGGCAGGGAGCACCAGAATAACAGCCCCACCAACACAGTGTGCATTACACACGCGCCAGGCAGGTGCCCAACGCCGCTCGTACCTCGTTCACCCTTACAGACCCTGAGGCGGGCGCTGCTACGATCCACATTGCTCAGAGGAGAAACCAAAGTTCAGACAGGTCAAGTGTCGGGTGCCAGGTCACACAGAAGGTGGTGGCAGGCAGAACTGACCCTTGAAACCAAGTCTGCCTTGGTCCAGACTGCTTGGAACAGGGTGTGAATAAATGAGCGAATGAAGGAATCCGGGCCCAGAGCTGTGGCTCTGGCCGCTGGGCCCTTCCCCAGACCCGGCCCCCCTTCTTGTCTGGTCTCAGGATAAGCAGACGTTGCCCATTCATCACTTGACAGGAAGCAGCCCGATCTCATGCCAGAGTCATGGGGGCCTGTCAAGCTGGAGGGGACAAGCCACAGATGGTGTCTGGTTTCCGGCCGGGTCCTGTGTTCCCTCACACTCGCCCCAGCCCTCCACCCCGCAAAGCCATGCATCCTGCTCAGATTCTGTGGCTCCATGACCAGTGGAAGCCCGGCTTCTCTCTCTAGGTGCAGGGATGCAGGACCATGAGCCATTCCTGGAAGGTGGTCATGCAGACAGGCTCCCCACTGCTCCCGTCCTCAGGGTGGCGGGGCCTCCCCCAAGGTGGGCCTGCAGAGCCAGGAGGCCAGCTGACTGGGGCCGCACAGTGCCCACCCAGAGACAGGGCTGCTGTAGCCTCCAGACGCCTTGCCCGCCCCCAGGACCCACACCTGGCTCCATCCAGTCCCACCCATTCTTCCTCCAAATGTCTTCACTTGCCCCAGGGCCTCTACCCTGTGCTGGCCTTGTCCCTTCTCACTGGGTCTCTGCAGTCACCTGCAGCCTCCACATTTCCCTCCAGCCCAACTTCCAGGCCACTGTGGAAAAATTTTCCTAACACACAAGCCTGAACCTGTCGATCTCTCCCAAAACTCCACAGCACAAGGTCTGTACACCAGAGCAAGTTGTTCCCTGCCCACCTGGCATGAGCCTGCCCTCATGCACTTGCCCTCAGTATCCCCCAGGCCCTGCATGCAGCCATATGAAATTAGAGTTCCCCTCCCCAGTGACATAGCACGCTGGTCCTTCCACGTCATACTATGTACCGGACTAAAGACCCATCGGCGCCTCTCAATGGGCAAAGTCCCACTCGTCTGTCAGCACCAGGTCTCTCGGCCCCCCCTCCTCTCCACCTCTTTTTTTTTTTTTTTTTAGGTGGAGTCTCGCCCTGTCACCTAGGCTGGAATGCAATGGCACAATCTCTGCTCACTGCAACCTCCGCCTCCCAGGTTCAAGCAATTCTCCTGCCTCAGCCTCCTGAGTAGCTGAGATTACAGGCGCCCACCACCATGCCCAACTAATTTTTGTATTTTTAGTAGAGATGGGGTTTCACCATGTTGGCCAGGCTGGTCTCAAACTCCTGACCTTGGGCAATCCACCCGCCTTGGCCTCCTAAAGTGCTGGGATTACAAGTGTGAGTCACCGTGCCCAGCCATAGTCTCGGCACTTCTTATGGGACCTTGGTGAAGTCCCGTCCCCTCCCTGAGCCTTAAATGTCTCCATCCACAGAGGAACAGCCCGACCTTGCAGGGAGGCTGGGAGGACCCTGTGGGCACACAGTGGGCAGTCAGGAGGCACTGAGGCCCCTTCTTCCCTTTCTCATCTGGTGGCGTCTACACAGGTTTCTCCCTCAAGGCGGGCTGTGGAGGCACAAGCTGCTTCCTCTGCCGCCGTGTCTGCCTCCTCTGCTGGCCTTTAAGAGCATCTGCAAACCTCCAGCGCCTCACCAGGGCCTGGTGGAGAGCGGGCACCCAGCGGGCGTTGGTGAAATGAATCTCTGACCAGTGGGTGGAGGTGGCTCTTCCCACCCTCCTGCAACTCCAAGAAACCTCTGCGGAAGGCTCAGCATCCCTGTGGTCACGGATCAGACGAAAGTCACCGAGCGATTCAAAACCAACTGGGCTGCACACTGCAGGGTTCCCAGCACCTTTTTGAAAATCGAGGCGCATCCCAATCACCTTTCACTTCCTCCTCGGTTCATAAAACCCAGTTCTGGAAGGAAAAAAATGCAAGAGCTGTAAACATCTTGTCTCTCAGTCAAAGGAACAACAAGGCATTTAGCTTCTGCCCAGAAAGTTCCTGACTCTGTGACCTGGTCAAGGCTGGGTCTGGTCCCAGCCACCCTGAAGACGAAGCTGAGTCCTGCTGAGCGCCTCCCCTGTGTCGGGCACTGCAGGCAGCAGCTCAGCACATCTCTGCTGTGAGGTCTATAAGCCCCCCACTTGTACAGATGAAGAAACTGAGGTGCAGAGAAGTTAAATGACTTGTTATGCTCATGCAGCTGACAAGTGGCATGGCCTGTTTTTGAACCCAGATCCAACTCTCTCCAAAGTCTGCATTTTAATCATTTGCCTGGCATGATCCTTGGTGATCGCCATGCAGCTGAGGAAGGCTGGGGTCTTACTCTAGGAGTCCCAGGCCCACTAGCAGGCCCACCATCCCAGGACCCCTGCCTGCCCGGGAAAAGATCTCTCTCACCTCGAGGCCTTGGCAGGCTCTGCTCCTCCTGCCTGGAAGGAGCTGCCTCCCAGCAAACTTCTCTCCTTCTTCAGGGCCTAACCTGGGCATCTCCAGGAAGCCTTCCTGGACTCACCCAATCAGTCACTCCCAGCTCCACAGCCTGCTGCCCATGCCATCTCGGTCTAATTCCTGTGCCTTCCTCTCCTTCAACGCGGAAATTTCCTCGGGGGTAGACTAAACCACTCTCCCCACGGCCCCAGCAGGTGGCAGAGGAGAGGCTGGGTAAGTGGTGGCTGACTCAATACAGAAACACCTGAGGCCAGGAGGAAGAAGCCTGGCCCCCCAGGCCAGCTCGTGTAGGGGGCCACTGGGTAGAGGCTGGCGGTTAAGGGAAGGGATGGATTTCAGAGCAGAGACTCCTGTGTCGTATCCTATCTCAGACTGTGGCTACTACCCTGCTAATCAACAGTGGGAGGAGGATCAAGCAGAACACCCCCAGGGCTGGAGGGCTTGGGTGTTTGTAAAAAGCTCGGCCTGGGTCCCACGCGAGCATCTAGAATCCCATTCAGTGGCCTTCACGCAGGGAAAGCCCCTGGCCTCCTCTAATTTTCTCTCCTTCCTACAGGCAGGAAGGGACAGACAAAACCCACCCTGGAGGGAGACGAATTGCTTTTTCTGCTTCCCTGGAAACTGAGAAGTTCTGGCTAAGCCTGCGAATTACTCAACTTGAAACGAGTCATCAGCAGCCACCCCGTCCCAGGGTAATGGCAAAAGTCCTGCCAGGCTGGTGGGACGGGCCAAATGGGTTCAGCCAACGGTGGGTAGCCGAGGTGCAGCCAGGTCGAGATCCCTGGTGCCCCAGCCCTGGAGGTCCCTGGGGCCTGTCTCCCCATCCCTCACTGGACACACCCCTGAGAGCAAGTGGCTCCCACAGTAGGAGAAGGGAAAGTCTGGGTACCTTTTGAAGTGGCTCCTGAGAAGCTCCAGGGAAGGTCTGCTCAGCTCTGGGTTGAGGGCGGACGTGAGGTGCCGGGACCTCCAGGGAGCTGGGTGGCCTCTCTGGGCTGGGGCGGGTGCAGGAAGAAGGGCCCCTGTCTCCACACGGGACTTCCCCTTCCCAAGACTCCAGTCCCCAGACAAGGCCAAAAGGAAACTCCCCCACCACGTGCTGCTCTAAAAATAGCTCCGGCTGCCACCTCCAAGGCGAATGGAACTTGTCACAGCCGCCATGGAGCCCCCTGCTCACCAGGGACTGGAATCTGATGGCAGCGCCTCCTGATTAGACCAGTGTCAGCTCAGGGAGGGACATGGGTTCTTTCCTTTGGTCCTTGTGCTTACTCCCCACCCATCCACCCTGGGGCCCAGCAAAATGCTGAAAAGCACAACCGATCTTGCTGTCGCTTTAGAAGCTTAACCCTTTCTATTCTCTCCTTTGTAAACTGGGCCCAAATCCTTAATTGCCTATGAGATGAGAGCTCTGGCAGGCGGCAGTCCTGGTTCGAGTCCTGGTTTAGTCACATCCTAGCTGTGTGCACCCACGTTCTTACCGGTAAAACAGGGACAAGGGTAGTATCTACCGTGCGGGCTGCTGGCGGGTTACATGACATCGCACGCGTTGAAAGAGCTTGGCGCCAGGCTGGGCACAGCAGACACCCCATCAGTGGGGTTATTTGGTTGTTATTACATCCTTATTCAGGCCCTGCACTCTCCAAAATGAGGTGTGGATCCAGGATCGGAGGACGCAGAGTGGTCCACCTTCCCTTCGGGACCCCGCAACAACTCAGACACAGCTCCTGCTCTTAAAGGTCCCCAGGAGCGAGCCCTGGAACTGATCTCCACAAGCCAGAGAGAGCATGAAGCTGCCCAGGAAAAGGACTCATGGCTCCTGCTTCTTGCCGAGCCAGGCCATGACTGCTTCGGACAACAGGTGGAAAGCCTCAGGTGGCCCAGAAGGACCAGCAGGGTTTGGACCAGAGAGGAAGGAGATTCCTGGTAGCCGACATGGTGGGATCTAGGGCACAGACCCCCCGCTATCCAGTCTGTGAAAGGAATCTGGGCTCTGCAGGCCAGCCCCAGCCCTCGGTCCCTAAGACAGGTTTTCCGTGAGCAGTGCCTGCTTCCTCCTCCAGAATGAGCCACCTCTGCCCTGGACAATGCACCCCTGTGCCCCATCTGCAGCTCTGCCACCACTGGGACTGACACGGGCATACGGCAGCTGAGGTCCTGGAGGATGCGCGAGTGAGATTCTGGCACCGACGCTTTGCCACCTGCCACACACCTTCCTGCCAGCCGGCCCCAACTGTCGGGCATATGCCAGGCGCCAGCACCCTCGGGGGCTGAGGCTGGGCCCAGGCCAGCCGTCCGCAGGCCCTGGTGTGTGTTGCACCCCTTGAGGAGGTGGCCACAGATCCATGTCCCCCACAACCCTGCCGATGGGCACGTTACCAGCCTCAATTCACAGAAGGCTCCAGATAGGCCAGGCCGGGGCCCCCCCAAGAGTCACTGCGACCCCCAGGACAACCTCCACATGGCTGAGCACAGCTCAGTGCATCTGGACGGCGGCGGCGGCTTTTCCCAGTCCTACCACCAGTATGGTGTGACAGGGCTGGCGCATGATCACAGCACCTGTGGCCATGCCACGGCTGCCCCTACACCTCCTTCCTGTGTTGCTCTCCTGACCAGAATCCTCGCTGAGCCCTGAAGTTGGGCCTAGGGAGCATGTGGCCACTTTTAGCTCTGCAGGAGTGGCTTGTGCTCTGAGCTGTGCTGTGTGTTACAGTGGCCCTGGACTCCCATGGCCCGGACTCCCACAGGGCTGCAAGGTCTTGGGGAAGTCACAGGCTATTTCTGGGCATCAGTTCCCCTACCTGCAACAGGGGTGGGTCAGACTCCACAGTCTTGAAGGGCCCTTCTTGTGCAGATGTTTCTGACATGGCTGACAGGGGATCTGTGACTCATTGGGTGGCTCTGAAACGGAGCTGGGGATCCTGCATCTAATCATGGCTCGTTTCTAGGCACTAGAAAACCAGATCTTTTCAGTCTGGAATTGCTAAGGGAATCTGTTCTTGGACCCCAGATCGCTTCTGAGCACTCCAGCCCCTGCACGCCGCCTTCCTCATGCACAGCAGCCATGGCCACGTGGGGCTGTGGCATGGATGCCACCCGGGCTTCCCAGCACACAGCCACGGCAGTGTGCGTATGGGGTCACGCACACAGAGCACCCATCTGTGTTGGGTGCTGGGCCAGATCCTTCAGGAACAGTGGCAGCCTGTGGGTTCACAAAACCACCCTGGAAGGCAGACAGTGTATCCATTTGACAGATGAGGAAACTGAGGCTTAGGGAGGTCAGGTGACTTGCTGGAGTCCCAGCTGCAGAGGCAGAGCCTGGATGGGAATGGAGGCCTGAGTGCTGACCTGGACACTCTCAGGAGTGTGTTCAGAGGACCCTACCCTCAGCAAAGAAGCAGATGGAGTATGTGTGTGGGGTTCCAATCAAAGTGCTTAATCAGGCCAGGTGTGGTGGCTCACACCTGTAATCCTAGCACTCTGGGTGGCTGAGATGGAAGGATCACTGAAGCCTGGGAATTCAAGGCTGTGGAGAGCTAGTATTGTGCCACTGCACTCCACCTGGGTGAAAGAGCAAGACCCTGTTTCTAAAAAGACAAAAAATCAAAAACCAACCAAAAAACCCCAAAGTGCTTAACTGCATTGCTGAATCACAGAAAAGGGCCGTTAATTTCAACTTGGGGCAATAAAGGAGGCTCCAGGGAGGCAGTGCCCTGGACCTGGGAATAGCAGGCCGGGCAGTGGGGAGGTGGAGAGGCAGCCAGCACAGGTTCAGGGGTACAAATCTGGTGCTGCCTCCATCTGGCTATGTGAGCTTGGGCCCATCCCAGGGCATCCCTTTGCAGTTCCCTCGGCTCTAAACCGGGGCCACAGTAGGACCCATCTTGCAGGGGTGCAGCTAGGACTCCACCAAGTCACATGACCTCCCTGAGTCTCACTTCCCTCATTTGTCAAATGGATACACTGTCTGCCTCTAGGGTTGTTTTGTGAGTACATGAGGACCAAGTGAGGTATTTTACATGCAGGTAGAATACCAGCCCAGGACTATCAGGGCCCAGATATGCACAAGAGCTTAATAAATGTGGGTACAGGGCCAAGCACGGTGGCTCACGCCTGTAATCCCAGCACTTTGGGAGGCGGAAGTGAGTGGATCACTTGAGGTCCGGAGTTCAAGACCAGCCTGGCCAACATGGCAAAACCCTGTCTCTACTAAAAATACAAAAATTAGCCAGGCGTGGTGGTGGGTGCCTGTAATCCTAGCTGCTCGGGAGGCTGAGGCAGGAGAATTGCTTGAACCCAGGAAGTAGGGGTTGCAGTGAATCAAGATCATGCCATTGCATTCCAGCCTGGGTGATGGAGTGACTCTGTCTCAATCAATCAATCAATCAATCAATCAATGTGGGTGCTGCTACTGTTCTGATTCCTGTTATCATAAACAACCGGCACTTACGCAATAGCAATATCTCTGCAACAAATATTTCCAGAAACCCACTTTCCAGGGGACCCCAGCCTTACGGACGCCAGGCCCTTGGGACTGTGGACCTAGAAGGAGGTGTCCAGGGCCTCTGGGGATCCCCCTTTTGGGAGGGTGAGAGGGGCCACACGGCTCCTGCTGCATCCTCCCAGGAGCTGGGAAGTGATGGCAAAGCATTTTACAAAGTTACCAGGACAATGAACCTGAGCTAGCCCCTCCCCCACTGTCTCCATAAAATAAATCTTGGCCCGTGGCTGGCGAGAGACCCTATATATTTACATGACGATTGTGCCTCATGATCACAGTGTTCCAGCAGCAGCATGTGGCAGAGATGACAGGGGTCCTAGGAGAGTCACTATTTTCCGGCGACTTTTATTGTCCATTATATCCCGGCGTTTATAGGGCTCTGCTCCAGGCCTGGCAGGAGTATCGCACACCGTGGGGCTGGGAGGCCTTAAAATTCCAGTCTTGGTCCCGCAGATCCATCCTCAGGTCTCATCCATCCGACCGAGTCTTTGTGTGACTCTGAGACCCCAGGGAGTTCCAAGGCCTCTGGTGGACAGGGCTGGGGGTCTAAAGGCACAGTACTCCCACCCAAGCCATTGGCTTAGTTCCGGTCTGCTGTTTCAGCCTCCAGGAATGCTCCTAACTCTGTGGCTGTTCTCCCGGTGAGCAAGGGGCTATGCAAAGGAGAGGGGTATGGGGGTGCACTAAGCCATGGGGGCTGCTTGTTACATCTTAAGGGATTTTGTGAGACAGCTGATAACTCACTGGGTGCTTAAAATCAGCCATGGTGGGAATATTTACACCCACCATGGGAGCTGACAAATGCTAAGACAGCAGGGGTGTTTACAAACCCCCTCATCCTGGGACTGTTTGTTGAATACTCACCAGAGTGCCCCAGGGGAGGAATAACCGGTGGGCACCTGAGCACCTGAAAGGACCCGGGCTCAAGAATCGGGTGTGAATCTGGACTTCCTGAGCCACTTGCAGTGTGGCCTTAAGTAAGAAATTTTGCTTTCTGAGCCTCAGCTTTCTTATCTGTAAAACGGGCCATACCTAAGCCCCTGGGGTTCCTGTGAAGATGAGAACACCTTATGGAAATTTCCCTGGGTGAGCTCGGGAACAGGCAACTTTCATCATTCATTTATTCAACACTTACTGAGCACCTACTCCATACCAGACTCTGCCTCAGTGACCCACATACAGAAATGCCCCAGAGGGTGACATGACACATTTCTTCTGGGCAGGTTTTTTTTTTTTTTTTTTTTTTTTTTGAGACAGTCTCGCTCTGTCACTCAAGCTGGAATGCAATGGTGTGATCTCGGCTCACTGCAACCTCCACCTCCGAGGTTCAAGCGATTCTTCTGCCTCAGTCTCCCAAGTATCTGGGATTATAGGTGCACACCACCACACTCAGCTAATTTTTGTATTTTTAGCAAAGATGGGGTTTCACCATGTTGCCAGGTTGGTCTCAAACTCCCGACCTCAGGTGATCCACCCACCTCAGCTTCCCAAAATGCTGGGATTACAGGCGTGAGCCACCGCGCCTGGCTTCTGGGCAGTTTTTGATGGTATGCAGAGGGACTTTTGTCCACACTATTGTCGGGAGCCTCATGACAACCTTGAAAGGTGGGTGGGAAGAGTGGGAATGAGGTTCATTTCTGAGATGAGGAGATGGGGGCTCTGGAGTGGCCGTGACTTGCCCAAGGCCCCTACCAGGGGGTACAAAGGTGGGGCTTGGCCTCACATCTGCCCCGTCGTGCCCCAGGCCCACCTTGGCACCCATCTCTGAATTCCCAGGCCCAAATAGGCTGGTCCCTGCTGGTGCCAGGGTGACCTGAAAGTTAGCATGCACAAAGGACAGGAGGACCTGGGGGCTGGGGGTACTCCAGGTCCCAATCCTGGGTTCGAGTCTTGTCTCCATGACCTCCTGGACCCTAGGTATTTCCCCTAGGGATCCCCATCACTGGCGCAAGAAGGCTGCACCCTGGACACGCCTGACCCTGATGTCTGAGGGTCTGACTCCAGGCTTCCTAGCGTGGCCAGCTGTCCCTCTGTGCCCCACAGCCTGGGAGGACTTGGACACATCGCCATCTGCTGTGCCCTGTCCGGATCCCAGGTGAGCAGGGAGCCTCTCGGGCAGGAAGGAAGAAGGGAGTGAAGTAGGGTAGGGCTTGTGAACCTCATCTCACCCTGCCAGGCAGTGCTCATGCACCCATTTCACAGAT